GGGGGGGACACCTCAGTGCTAAATGCCTGCCTCTCAGGGCCAGATCCAAGGAAGTGCTAGTACCACTCTGCCGGGGCACGCTCAGGCCGCAGGTTGGCTCTCCTAGGAGCTGGATGAGCAGGGCTTGTTGTAGGCCGAGTTGTCAACTAGATTGTCCTGTTGCTATTGTTGTTGTTAGGTGCCTGGAGTCGGTTCAGTTCTGACTCATCGTTGACCGTGTCCAAAAGAGCGAACCACTCCCCGGCCCTGCGCCATCACATTTATTCTTACATTCTGAGCCCACTGTTGCAGCCACTGTCTTAATCCACCGCATCCTCTCCCCGACTCTCCTTCACCAAGCATGCTGTCCCGGTCCAGCGACTGGGCCGCCTCATGCTAACACAGCCAAAGTAAGTGAGAGGAAGTCTCACCACGCTCACTTCTGAGGAGCTTTTTCTGGCTCTACTTCTTTCAAGACAGACTTGCCGATTCCGTTTGATCTTCCTGTGGTCCCTGGTGACCTGGCAAAGCTTCCAGGAACACGGCAGTACCTCAGCCACCCCGATCTGACAAACTGACAGACAAGCGGTGGTAGAATGTCTTAGGATGTTCGTACATATCATTCAATAAATGTCTGATCTTAATGTGGAATTCGAGACCTCTTGGCACTCAAGCGCCACTGTTTTGGCCTCTTGGAATAGCACGATCCACTTAGAAGATTAGAGGGAGCATGAATACTGACACACTTGGCTGAGGGACCTGGGACATGGACTGACATTGCTTCTCTGATTAGACAGTTCGTCCTCAAACGCTGCAAGATACCGTGTCTCAAAGGCTCCGCGGTAGCGCGTGGAGCATGGCCTAGAGGCAGGAGCACTTCGGGCGACTTCACATACCTGCCGGCGGTGGCGTAGCGCCCTTCCTTTCTGCGCTCCACCTTTCTCCTTAGAACCTGGTTTGGGTTGTTTTTCAGTAAATACCTCCCTCCCAGCACCACTGTGAGGACGGAGGAAGCTAACTATGCATAAGATGCCGCACACACGCATGAACGTGACTGGTCACCACTACTGCCGGCACACCAGTTGCTGTGTTTCTTCCCTCAACCAGACGAGGGGAGAACAGGAGTTCTCGGTTGGGGAAGCTGCAGATGAGAGGGGGGCCGCCCCGCAGAGCCTGCACGGGAGCAGCAGCTCCGACCGGTCCCCTCCTTCACGCTAAGACACCTGTTGACTTGTCTCCACAGGCACAGGGAGGATCTGGATGGACGATGTCGCCTGCAAGGGCACAGAGGACAGCATCTTTCGCTGCGTCTTCTCCAAATGGGGGGTGACCAACTGCGGACATGCCGAGGACGCCGGCGTGACATGCAGCAGGCCCTGAAAGGGGGCTCAGCCCAACGTCCGGGCACTGCGGAGAGCCTCCTTCTGGCGCTCCTGAGCTGGAGGGATCGCTCGGGGGCCATGCCTCTGCCCATGTCTCTGCCCGGCCCGTGCAGCCACCCACTCCGCATACTGCTTGTCCCGGGACCACGGTGGCCTGTCGTCATTCTCCGCTTGGGCATGTGCACTCAAGTGCACTCAGACCTACTGCCACTCTCTCCCTCCCACCTGGGCCCACTCGAAGCCCGGCCCCGGGGGTGGCTGGTATTTCCTGGCCTTCTCCGCACCACGGCGCAGTCCTCGGATTCCAGGCATTTGGGGGGTCTGGGGGTTCCACATGGGTGCTGAGAATATGTTAGGCCCGTCAAGCAATGGACCGTTCGTTCTTCAGGTAATTCCCAGACCTCAATTAGCCCAAAGTTTCCACATCTCTCCTTCAGGAAGAGGCAGCACTGGATCATTTCACGTCCCATGTGGCTCTGCAGGGTTTGGGGGAAGTGACCGAAGGGAGGCGGGAATGCCAGTTGCCTGGAGGATTGAAGCAGGATTTGGAGAGGGGAGAAAAACAAACATGCATTCAATACCCACCACGGTGTGCTCATGGGTATCTTGGGTGCCACGCCCACTTATCTGTCCACGTGGCGGCATTCCTAGGACGCATGTTAGCCTGGGGACGACCTGACTCCAGGTAGCACTCCACTGACCCACTCACCGGATCTCCGCGTCTTAGTTTTCAGGATGACCAGTTTGCCTCGTCTGCACCTTAGTCTATCTTTGCTCGGCTGGAAAACAAGGCCCGGGGGCAGGGCATGTGCAACAGAACTCTTCCTCCCCAAACCCTGCAGGGTGGGAGTGGAGGGGCTCCAGGCGGGAGGACGGTGGGTTTGGAGGAGGGGGGGACTGTCTGAATGAACTTGAAGTTGGTGCTCCGTCATCGGGCAACCAGGGTTAGAAACTCAGACGACTCGGCTGGGGACAGATGATGATATCACCCTTTCTGGACTGTATTGCATGTGATCCCGGGCACAGGAGAGGGCATCTCCCAATGGGATGCTGTAGGGCTGGCAGGAAGTGCGGAGTCCCTCTCACCTCCAGGGGGAAGAAGAAGCCAGGAGGCCTCTCTGCAGGAGACCGGGAAATGAGTGTATCTTCTGCTTTTCACACCAGGAGGTGCCCCTGTGAGGGTCTCACGCACCCACTCAGGCCTGGGACACACAAGCTCCTGTGCTAGCAGGGTGGGCATCAGCCCCAACAGGCTCCAAAAGGGAGATCCAGGACCCTCCAGGTGCAAGACGAGCAAAGTTCCCGGCTGACCCCCAAACCGATATGTTGTATTGGTCATTTTCTGCTTATGATATGCTTGTTTTTCATTAATGTCATTAACGATCAGAGACTCTTCTTCGGACCAACCACTGTTTACATAGCACGCAGGTACCCAGGCATCATTTCCCAGAGCCAATATCTGTATGTATCTATCAACATAGCACTCTTTACGACAGAGCTCAGCACGCTGTTGCCAAGTTTGCTTTTTTTTTTTTTTAATGATAGAGGCGAAAGATGTCACATTTTACAAAATAAATTCCCATGTCAATTCTGGGAAATAATCCAGTTTACTTTTTCCACTTGATCTTTTTACTTGGGAAAATGCAAGTCCTGTCTGTGTGACACTCAATAAAAACAAAAATTGAAAAGGGTTTACGCCTAAAAAATGAAAGTCTAACTAGTTTACACGCCGCTTGAGAAGACTTAGAGATCATGAAGCTCTTTTTCAGGGACAAAAGGCAATTAGGCATGGCCTAAAATAAATGAGACCTTTTGTAAGAAAGCATCTCAATAAAGCTGAAAACATGCCACTTAACCAGCTTCCCAGCACATTCGTTCTTTTCCGATCACAGTGCGTGTGGGGAGGACTGCTGGGAGCTGGGTGATCTGATGACTTTGGGTGGGAATGGGTAGGATGGGGAGCATGTGAGAAGCTGTCCTCATTCTGGAGGACAATGGCTAGTCTAATCCAAGAACACCATGAGACCTGATGTCTTAAGCCTTCATGCCCAAAGGAAATGAGTCCCAAGCAGCCATCCGGTGACCAAGTCCATCTTATGAGAAGACTAGTTTGGGAGCCCGTGAAGAGCCACACCGTGCTTCCTCGATGCCAGAGTTCTGGCTTTGGAATATGCTTCCCTCTGGAGCTGGATTCTAACTGTCAGTCATTATAACTCCCACAGGGGAGTCCTGAGCTAGGTACGAGGTCTGAGAAGTCACTGAGGCTCATTATCTAAGAACGCCCAGGCACAGGATTCTAGTAGCTGGATGGGAGCACTCCAGGCCACGGCACCACTGGCCATGCTCCCAGCATTGCGGCAGTGCTCAGTCATGGGGCCATCGGGCTGAAAGCTTGAGTCAAGAGGCTCAGATGACTCAGCGGTTTGGTGGTGATGACATAGCCCTGCCCAGACTTTGGAGGTGACCCTGTGGTCAGGAGACTGGCCCCAGCCTCGTGGGGAATTATGGCAATTTGTTAGAAGGAGTCACCCGAGGAAAATCCACAGAGGAAGCAAACACCCTGTTTGCTTCCCTCTAAAAGACCTCGTGGTGCCCTCTAAGTCATTGTGGTTTCCATTCTGTAAACAGCCACCCACGGAGACAGACAGACGCCCCTCTTTCTACCTACCCTCGTGCATCAAAGTCCATTGTCTTTGGGCCTGTGATTACAGAGCTGGAGAATCATAGCCACTGGAATGGACTAGATGCGTATAAAAGAGTTACAGCTTCCTCAACCAGAGGTGGCCCTCACATTTCTATAACATGGTGTGTTAGTCCAGGTAGACTAGAGAAACAAATCCAGATGTGTATAAGAAAGAGCTTTATTTACAAGAGCAATTTAACATTGAGAAAACATCCCAGCCCAGTCCAGATCAAGTCCATTAAGTCCGATATTAGCCCATATGTCCAATACCAATCTATAAAGTTCTCTTCAAACTCATGAAACACGTGCAATGACACTGAATGCAGAAAGATCACAGGTCAGTGGGTGGTAGGTCTTGTGGATCCAGTGGTAGCATAAGCATCTCAGTGCTGGAGTGGGTCTTCACGTGGCTCCTCCAGCTCCAGGGCTCTAGCATAGCACCATGTGTCTTGTCATCAGGAATATGAAGCAGAGAGTGTGTGTGTCCTGAGAGTTAGCACCTCCAGGTGAGGTCATCAAGCAGTGACCTGATCAACAGGCTAAACCCCTTCACTCTTAGTAGCCTCAAGTTGGCACCAGATTATGTAACTACCACACATGGCAAATATGTTCCTATAAAACGTGTTCTATAGAATTTCAAAAAGTTTGTCATCTTGGTTTAAGCATAGTCCTCCTTTCAACCCTTCATAGAACATCTTTTTCTTCTCCCTTCCCTTTGACCCTTAGCTGGTTAGAGCTGACATTCAGTTACTGAATGGAACTTTTTAAATTCTATATCCTCACCTGACTACCTACCTGCCCCACCACTCCCAGTGCAACTAGAGTAGGAAAAGAAGTGTGCAGTCCCCGGGTTGTGCAAGCCATGAATGCACTTAGCTGCCAGCTGAAAGGTTGAAGGTTGAATTCTACCCACAGGCTCCTCAGAAGGAAGGGTTGGCTGTCTAGGTCCAAAACATCCAGCAATGACCCCCCACCCCCACCCCCCAACGCTGTTGTCAATTGACACACACAGGCCCACCAGGAGGAAGAATCAGCTCCATGACAACTGACTTGGTTTTTTGAAGGAACTTTCAAGAAGAACTTCCCATCCTTAGATAATTTTTCCACTCTGGCGGGAGGCAACTAGAGCAATTCCCAGCTCTGCGTGAGCAAGGATCATGGATTGTCCTTTCCTCCGAGACTGTCCTGGCCGGCCTCCCAAGGGGCACTCAACATGCCCACATTGGTATTCAGCCAAAGAATCAAGAGAACTCTTGTGTGCATTTCTGGAATGTTTTCTCTTGTGTTACTGGGCCCTGTAAACTCTAGCCATCATGGCCTCTTCTCTCCCCAGTCATTGTCTTCACACTGCAGTGACATTAACTGACCAGTGGGACCCCCTTCCTGTGGCCAAAAGTCAAGACAGAGATCCGCTCACCTCCCCTCTCTCCGCTCGTCCTTCCTCAAGGCCACAGGCCTGTGCGCCCTGTTTCCCAATGTCTGACAATGTGCGCTCCGAGGGTTTGTGCAAGGTTCTGCCTGTTCCAAAGGGAGGAGGAGTCTGGTAATTACTCTCTCATGGCCGGAAACAGGAGTCCTCCCTTTGGGTATTTTCCTAGTCAGAGAGAATTATAAGGGAACAGCCTCATTGTTCAAACACAGTATGAAGGGGCTTGGCAAAGACGAGCTTTGGAGAGAGAATGTTCAGGCGGGAGAAATGTCTGGACAAGGGAGGCCTTCCACCTCAGGTTCTCACTCCCCCATCACTGCCCCACACGGACACACACAGGCTCCTTTCCAAGGACAGCCTCCCCCCACCCCCCCAATTCTTGCTTGGCTCTTCTTAGTACTGGCAGAGTTAAGCTATGGATGAGCAACAAAGAAATACTTTCAGGAAAATACAAACATCTTCAAAACAGACAACAAGTCTTGGGCCCTTCAGCAATTACTTAAACTAGGGTCCCCTATGGCTCACTCTCAGTTCCTGTCTGTGCCCCCAGCATGGGGTCGTTTTTTATTTCCTGTCTTGTCTTCTCGACAAACAGACACTAGAAACAGAGGGAGGAGGTGGGAGTCCTGGCGTTACATCATGAGGCGTTACATCAGTGGCATGAGGCTCAGTGCACATGACTAACTGACTGAAGAACTGCTTTGTAAATCTTCAAACAATTCACCAAAAAAGTGAAGAAGGAAAACGAGACCGGAAAGAATATGCTGAGACTGGCACCCACCTGGCTGTCCTCGCGGAAACCTCATCCTTCAACAACGGGAAGATCCAGCTCGGTTTTAATGGACACAGTGAATGAGTTTTCCCTCCCTGGGAAAACTTCCGTCCCACCCAGAGGGAATGGTTTTGACAAAGTTTTTCCCTTTCAAGAATTTGCTTGTTTCCGGAGAAAGTAGTTATTGAGTGTCCCCCACGTGCAGGGAAGCCCTGTCTGAACCACAGGAGATGTAGTGATGAACCAGAACATTTGGTCCCTTCCCTCAGGGAGCCTCCATTCTGGCTCTCAACCACCCTTGACCTGGTTTCTGTACAATTTTAACGACATAAGAACAATGGCATCTACTACAGGAAATGATAAAGGTGAAAAGGGGACAGTTATGTGGAACAAAACTGTCGTTTTGTAGAACTTTCAAATGCCATCATTAGTGATCATTAGTTAAACAATAACACAGGTGGCCCTGGTTACAAGAATAATCAACCACTTGAGATGGAGATGATTAAACACTAGAATTTCATTCCTTCCAAATAGTAGCCGATAAACAGAGGTCATATGACAGAAACAACATTCATGGGCCTTTCCTGTGTGATAGGTTCAAAGGGCTTCCTAGGAAGGAAACTTTGAAACTTTCTAACCAGTGGATCTATTCTAAACATCCCAGGTACACTCGAGGGGCAAGGGGGCACTGAGAAGCTCTTACTCTCACTGGAAACATTGGAACTCTCTAGCACTGCACACGTACGTAGCACGAGGAACTACAGTACTGGAATTCCGAGACGTCAACTCTAAGGAAGGTGCAAATGAAGCTCTGAGCTCAGTGATGTCCGGACACAAAATGTCTTGAGTTCCTGGGTCTTCCAAATGAGTTTTACAGAAATAATTCCACATTCAGTTATGTTATAATGACCTTATAAGGAAATGTGCAAATACGTGGAGTTAGAAAACCGAAGGGGAAGCACATCCTTGGCGTTTCTCAAGCTGATAGGACTGAAGACAAATTCATGCTTTGACTTGAAATCTTAAAAGATTTTATGAGGGGGAAGATCAGCAACTGATATTAGGGGCTAGAGTGGGAGGCAAATGTTTTGAGAATGATGAGGGCAACAAATGTGCATATGTGCTTGACACAATGGATAGATGTATGGGTTGTGATGAGAATTGTACGAGCCCCCAATAAAATAATTTAAAAAAATACCAAAAGGTGAAAAAAAAGAATGAAAACAAAGATAATTAGCTCTTAAATTAGAGCCATGTTAATATATGCTTGTTTCTACATTAAAAAAAAAAAGATTCTATGGGCAAAATGTTGAATGATGCAGGAAACATCAAGAGGAGATAGGATGAAGACACACAGTCACTGAATCCAAAAGAATTGGTCAGCGTTCAACCATTTCAAGAGGTATCATCTGACCAAGAACAAGTGATACCAAAGGAACAGGTCTGAGGTGTACCAAAGGCATTGGCAAAAAATAAAGCTCCAGGCACTGACAGATGACCAAGACAAGTGTTTCAGCGAGCCGAAGCTGTGCTGGAAGCATTCACTGCCCGACTGGAAGTGATCTGTACTTGAGCCCGCTTCAATGTGCCCATTTCCACTTTCAGTTACACAACCCAAACTGGAAATGATAAGATCATATCATCGACATCGTGCAAAAACCCAATGTGCTGACAATCATTTAAAAGCAGTTGCAGCTGTGCATTGACAGGGAGTGGCAAGAAATACAAGCTGAATTCAGAAAGGGACGTGGAATGAAGGATGTCATTGCTGATAATGTATGGATCTTGACTAAATGCAGAGAATACTAGGAAAACATTTACCATGCTTTATTGGGAAAAGGAACCCTGGTGGCGTAGTAGTTACATATTGGGCTGCAACCCTCAAGGTCGGCAGTTCGGAACCACCTTCTACTCCGTGGGAGAAAGTCTAGGTTTCTACTTCAGTAAGGAGTTACAGACTCGGAAACCCAG